CTTGCCTTGCATGCCTGAGGCCCTGGGTTCGATTCCTCAGCACCACATAAGCAAAAAGAAACAAGCGGAAGTGGCACTGTGGTTCAAGTGGTAGAGCGCTAGCCTTGAGCTGAAGAGCTGAGGGACAGCGCCCAGGCCCAGAGTTCAGGCCCCATGACCAGACCCCCCCCCCAAAAAAAGTCTCAAACTCAAAGGCTTCCAGAGCAGGCAGAACCTAGTAGAGCCATTCTAATAATCCGGCGGAGTTCAGGAACAGATATGTGAACCATTAACTCATCCAGTCCTGGGGCTTGAACTCAGGACCTGGCCGTTGTCCTTGAACCTTTTTTGTGCAAGCCTAGCACACTACCACCTGAGTCACGGCTCCACTTCCGGCTTTTTGGGGTTGACTGGAGATAACAGTCTCAGCATTTCCTGCCCCGCAGGCTGGCTTCCTCAGATCCTCTGATCTCCGTCTCCTGACTAGCTTGGATTACAGGCCTGAGCTCCTTGCTTGTTTCCACTCTCTTAGCACAGTGACCTCAAAGTTAATCCATGCTGTAACCACTAGCAAAACTTCCTTTTTTCTAGTTTGGTGGGGAGGTGGGGTGGGGGGACACATAGATCCTCTCCGTGCGGCCCAGACTGTTCTCAGACTTCCAATCATCCTGCCAAACTCCTTCCTTTACAGGCTCCCTGACTAGGATTACAGGCATGAGCCGCGGTGCTCGGCTACACTCCCACTTCTTAATTGGGAATGAAAGCTCAGGCCTTGCATGTGAGGAGTGTCGTTCAACGATGCCCCAGTACTATCCCCCCCAAATCCCTATTGCCAGCTACCAAAGTCACCCCACCAAACCCAGTGCAGCCAAGTGGGGGGGAGCTATGGACCTCATTACTAAACTCTAAAGACCTTCCAATGATATGGAATATGGGTTCTTTGCCAGGCACTGGTGGCTCCCACCTGTAATCCTAGCTATTCAGGAGGCCGAGATTTGAGGATCGAGGTTTGAAACTAGCCTAGGCAGGAAGGTCTGTGAAATTCAAATAAACTTCCAAAAGGTTGGAAGTGGCACTTTATGTCTTGACACAAAAGCTCAGGGACCCCGAGGTCAAGTCCCAGAATCAACACCAAAAATAAATAAATAGAAAACCAGAGGGCCAGCTCTGTAACCCCTAAACCAGGACAGAGCTCCCTTTCCATGCAGACCAGCAGACCAGCCTTCCCAGACAATCCACAAGGAAGAGGGAATGAAAGCAAACAGTGCCTGCTGCCCCTGGGAGCCTGGTCTGTACACACACACACACACACACACACACACACACACACACACACACACACACACACACACCCCTCTTGAAGGCATCACACACACACACACACTTGAAGGCATCACACACACACACACCCTCTTGAAGGCATCACACACACACACACACACACTTGAAGGCATCAGGCGCCTGCCTATGTATGTTTATGAACAACCGAGGAAGGAAACAAGGGTCTCCACTGTGGCCTCAGAAGAACCAGGGAGTGGAATTCAGAGGCCCAAGCCAGGCCCAGTAGGGTACAGCTGCAATCCCATTACTTCCAGCCTCCCTACTGGAGGATCTGAGGTTTGAGGCCAGCCAGGGTTACGTAATGAGGAAAAGAAAAAAGGAAGGAAGACGGCCTGCCGTCCCGGGCAGGTAAAGCTTTGCTGCTGGGCTCTCACCCGCATTCCAGAAATTAAAAACGAACTTCCGTTTTTCTCAAAGAGCAGGCTTTTCTACTTACTGCTTTGTAAGCCTTGAATTACTGATTTGTTTTTTTGTTATTTTGTGTTTGTGTGTGTGCGCGCGCACGCTGGTTCAGGGCCTTGAATTCGGGGCTGAGCACTGTCCTTGAGCTTTTGTGCTCCAAAGCTAGCATTCCATACTAGATTCAAGCTCCGCTTCAAGCTCTTTCGTGATGAAATGGAGAGTCTCATGCGCATTCCTGCCTGGCTGGCTACAAACCATGATCCTCAGATCTCAGCCTCCTGAGTAGCTAGGATGACAGGTGTGAGCCACCTATGCTCAACAAAGTCAACTTTTTTCTCCTTCTTTTTCTTTTTTGTCAGTCATGGGGCCTGCACTCTGGGCCTGGGCGCTGTCCCTCAGCTCTTCAGCTCAAGGCGAGCGCTCTACCACTTGAGCCACAGCGCCACTTATGGAATTTACGGATGATGTGATACTGAGGAATCGAACCCAGGGCTTCAGGTATGCTAAGCAACCACTCTACCACTGAGCCACACTCACAGTCCTGTCCCTGAGCTTCTTTTGCCCTAGGCGAGCACTCTACCACTAGAGCTAATTTGCCACTTACAGCTTTTTCCAGAGTAGATTATTGGAGATAAGTCTCTAGGAGTTATCTGCACGAACTGGCTTTGAACTGTGATCCTCAGATCTCAGCCTCCTTAAGTAGCTAGGATTACCAGCGTAAGCTACCACTGCCCAAGCAAAAGAAAACATTTTTTTTAAAGCAATTTCTCTTGTGTGTTTGCAGTACTGGGTTTGAACTTAAGGCCTGGCACTTGCTTGGTGCTGCTTGTGCTTTTTCCCAGGTTTAGCCCGAGGGTTCAAAAGATCCCTGTGCTTCTGCTTCTTGAGTAACTGGGACTCTACAGGCATACACCTCCATGCCAAACCAAAGGCAGCGCTTTTTTTTTCCTCTTCCTTTTCTGTCCATCATGGGGCTTGAACTCAGGGCCTGGGCACTGCCCCTGAGCTTTTTCTCTCAAGGCTCCTGCTCCACCACTTTGAGCCACAGCGCCCCTGACCGGGAGCACTTTCAATGCACCGTGTCACCGCCTCCTTTTCCATTCTTGTTCAGGGCCATCACCACACACAAGCAAATGAAGCACAGCGCTGTGCGATGCCCACAGCAAGCCTGGGTAGGAAGGAAAGCAGCCCTTGGCCGAGGGGCCCCCCGCCAGGCCCGGCTGCCTGTACCCCTGGCACCTTTCTGCCCCAGTAAATTCAGGGCAGTGTGCCTGGCACAGCAAAGAGGAGGAAGAAAAAAAAACAACCCAGGACGGTGGGAAGGCAGGAGCAAGGCTGGGCGCCCAGCCTGATGGCTTTTCTCAGTCTCCTGGCCCATCTCTAAGGTGCCACCCACGAGAAAGAGCTGACTGAGACGCCAGGGTGAATGTCACCGCCGACGACCAATAACTACGGAGAGGAATGCCGGCTCAGGGGATGGGGATGTTATCTATTGGCAGCCACACCAAAGACTTCCTGGAATAGAAGAGCCCGCCCTTGCGGGAGGGAGAGGCCAGCAGTAAGGGGGAAGGGCAAGGGGGGTGAACCAACTCGGACAGCACTCATCCATCCACTTCCTGAATCCCAGAAACAGCCCGGGAGAAACACTTGCCTGCCGGATGGCTTTGGGGGGGGAGGCGGGGGGGCAAACCAGGGCTTCTCCTCGGCTGCTCTGGCCAAGAGAAAAAGAGCTGCACCCCAGCACTTGCTATCCAGGCCCAACTAGGCAAGAAGCCCATTACACCAGCTCAGTGGAGAGAAGCTCCTAGTTGAGCCTCCTTGCTAGCTCGCAGACCCTGGGATGCTGTGCTAAGGTCCAAGACAGGATTCTAGAAAGTTCTCCTGAGCTCAAACTTCCAACTGAGGAGAGGAAAAAAGTTTTCAAGCTTACTCTTTTGGTTCTCTTGCGCCCCCCCACCCTTCCATTCTCTGGTCATTCCTGGGAGAGAGACAGTGATGTGTAGACACTAAGAGTGGGCAGACAAGATGGATTCACTTGTAAGAAAGGAAGAGCCAGCTTTGGGGGCAGAGAGGAGAGGGAAAAGCCAGCCTAGGAGAACCAGACAAGCCAGATCTCCCCCGCCACCCCAAAGTCCAGCGACAGTGTGACAGTGGAGGCTAGCTGGGGGCCATCAGACACAAGGTCTCCCCCCCTAAGCTTTAGAAAGTCTGGGGGGGGCACAGATGGGCGACCCGACAGCAGACAGAGGTCACTCGGGGACAGCTAGCCAGGCAGCAGGGGACTTCCGGGTGGGGGTCTGGACAGATGGACAGCCAAATGGTAACGGTAGGAGAACCAAGCAACCAAACAAAACAAAACGGGGCACGGGGCTGGGGGCGGGTGTGGAGGAGGAGGTGAGGAGGCCGGAGGCGCGGCTCCAGATAAACGAACCGCCATGCAGACGGCGGCAGTCACCCCCCGAAGACACCCCAGGGGCTCCCCGGAGACACGGGCAGAGCCGATCGGACTCCGTAACACCGAGAACCCCCCAAACCATGTCACTGCTGAGAGCCGGGGCGACACGCACGGCCGAGGGGCGGGGGTGTCCGCCGTGCGGGGTCGCCGCCCCGCCGCGGGGCCGGGCCCGCCTCCCCGGTGCCCGCACGCGCGCGCCGCGGTTACGCCGTCCGCGCAGGGCGCGCCATGCCCGAGCCCGCCCGCCCTCCGCGCCCTAGGCCGCCGCCGCCGCCGCCGCCCGCCGCGCTCGCTCACCGGCCCACGAAGTTCTCGAGCACCGAGCTCTTGCCGGCGCTCTGGCCGCCCACCACGGCGATCTGCGGCAGGTCCAGGTGGCAGCTCTGGCCGATGGAGCTGAAGGCGTCCTGCAGCTTGTTGACCAGCGGGATCAGCTCTTCCATCCCGCGGTTGCCCATGGCGCCGGCGGTCCGGCCCTCCGCCCGAGCGCCCGGCGCTCCCGGCCTGTGTCCTAACCTTCCCGGACTTTCTCCTCAACGACCCGGCCCCGCGACGTCAGTGGCCGTTGCTTTCCCCCCACCCCGACCCGTCCCCGGGACTCGGCGAGACGACGCCAGCTCCCGGTTCGGCCTCACAGTCGCCGCCTCATCCGCCTCATCCGGTTCTCAGGCGACACCCGACCGGAGCGACCTCCCCGCCCCGGCGCGGGGGGCGGGGAGGCTGCGCCCCCAAAAAAATCTAAAGCCGCCTTGAATTGGTCCACACTGTTGCCACTCACCCATGTGAGCCAATGAAGGCCTACAGCTGAGTAAGCCTTCCTCCGAGGGGCTGTTCCGCGAGCTCATTGGAGGAATGAGCTGTCACTCTTGTGCGACAGCCAATAGGAATAGAAACTGAGTTGTCAAGGCTCGGGAGGCGGTGTTTCGGGAAAAGACATGGTGGCTCCGCCCAACATGGAGTTCCACGGGTTTATTGGCAGACAGAACTGCCAGTCTAAAGGATAGCCAATGATTTTAGAGATCGAGCCTCAAACTCTGGTTTGTTACTTGACGCTATCTAGTTCCCTAAAGTTTTTCTATTGGTCAAAATAAATGTCATTTCGCTTCTACAGCCAATAAGGTAAAAGAGGCTGAGCTTCAACGTTCCAATCTTGACTCTGATTGAGAACTGTATCTGTCAATCAAAGGAACTCTCATTCTAACTGGTGATTGTAGTACGTTACTGTCTTCTGAAGAAACTCCCGTTCTAAACTGGTGATTGTTGTGTATTAGTCTTCTGGAGTACAGGTTAAGATCCGCCATGCTCGCCGAAAGGCGACACCTCGTGGTGGGACCCAGTGACTGTCACGTCTGAGTTTTGGGATTCTATAGAAACTCCATGTCCCAGAATGCCTCGTCATTCCCAGCCTGCGTGACGCTCTGAACGCGGAGACCCAAGACGCTCAGAAGTTGAGTCAAGCAAGATTTATGTCTCCTAGGGAGAGAAGGAGACTATGGCCCAGTGGTAAAGTGTCCGGGCCGAGAGTCAAGACACAAAGAAGAGCTTAGTCGTGGGGCTTGAACTCAGGGCCTGGGCACTGTCCCTGACCTCTTCCATTCAAAAGCTAGTGTTCTACCACTTTGAGCCACAGCGCCACTTCCGGCTTCTGGTGGTTCGTTGGTGATAATTCTCCTGGACTTTCCTGCCTGGGCTGGCTTCGAAGCATCATCCTCAGATCTCAGCCTCTTAAGTAGCTAGGATTACAGGCCTGAGCCACCAGCGCCAAGACAGCAGTAACTTCTTCATGTTAACCTTGGGCAAGCTACTTCCTATTTCAACTCCTGCCAATGGCGACATGAGTGTTCACTTCAGATTCTGGGAGCCCTGGTGCATAGGAAAAGGGCTCCTGGTTGTGCTCCCACAGATCAGTGCTGGCTTGTTTCCATCACCGGTTGCTCCTAGAATCTCTCTCCCTCTCCCAGGTCTCTGCATGCTAAACACAAGCTCTTGCCGGTGATGGTTCTTTTAGTTTTTGAGGGTACCGGGGTTTGACCTGAATCTTGTTAAACACTACCATTTGAGCCATGCCTCCCTCCCCCCCTTAAATAAAGTCATGTGGTTTTTGCTTAGGACCAGCTTCTACTGCCTAACCTCCCTTGTATCTTGTGTATCTGGGATTAAAGATTCAGGCTGCCACACTCAGCTTGTTAACTGGATGTTCTGTTTCTCCCAGTTGGCCTCTAATGATCCTCCACATTTCCACCTCCTAAGTAGCTGGAATTAAAGGTTGAATTTCCACATCCCAATTCTGTATGGCTACTTTTTACTGGTAGGCTTTAAGTCAGGGCCTGGGTGCTGTTAACTTTTGTGCTCAAGGCTAGCCACAGTTCCACCTCCTACTTTTTTGCTAGTTAATAGGAGACAAGAGACTCACAAGTTTTCTAAAATGGACTGGCTTTGGACCTATCCTCAGATCTCTGCTGAGTGGCTAAGATTACAGGCTAAGATTACCTAGCTTGTATAGTTACTTTTCATCAGTAGGAGGAGACCCAGATAGATCACCTCCCCAAGAACACACAGACACATGCTAGTTAGAATTTCAAAGTTTATATATTTTTTTAAAAAGTACAGGGCTGGGAAGGTGGTTCCGTGGTAGAGTGCTTGCCTCACATGCATGAGGCCCTGGGTTCGATTCCTCAGCACCACATAAGCAGAAAAAGCCGCAAGTGGCGCTGTGGCTCCAATGGTAGAGCGCTGGCCTTGAGCTGAAGAGCTGAGGGACAGCGCCCAGGCCCAGAGTTCAAGCCCCATGGCCACCCCCTTACCCCCACCCAAAGTACAAACAATCTTAAAAAAAAATCTCTTCCAAAGCCCCCAACTTCCCTCTCTCGTGGCCTGCTCAGTTCAATGTGATCCCCACAGAGGCCAGGGCTTCGGAGGCCCAGGCGGGACAGAGGTTGTGGTCCCCGTACATGGTGCGCATGAAGCTCCGCACGAAGTCAGGGAAGCGCTGCTCCAGGATGCTGGTGCGCATGGCGCTCATCAGCTGCAGCTGCAGGGCGGAGGGGCGTGGTCACTGGCCCCGCCCCACCGGGAAGCCCCGCCCCGGGAGCCCGGCCCGGCCCGGCCCACCTGGTAGGCGATGTTGTGGACGGTCAGGTGGTGCAGGGCCGCCGTGTTGTCGCTGTGGAGCAGGGCGTGCAGGAAGGCCCGGCTGTGCCTGGAGCGCCGGGGGAGGGGGCAGGCAGTGTCTGAGCAGGGCCCACCCCGAACCCCTCCAAGCCCCCCACTTCCTCACCTACTTCTGGCAGGTGGGGCAGGTGCAATCCTGGTCAATGGGGCCGAAGTCCTTGGCATACTGCTTCCTCTTCAGTTGCAGGTTCCCGGTGGGCACCAGGGCGGAGCCAAAGCGCTGGAAGGAGGGGGGGAGAGAGAGGAAGTGTCATCCGGGACTTCATCATCAGGACCCTTCCCCCCACCCCGGTTTCCCACAGTCCTCTGCGCCCCGCCCCGGGTCTCACCGCTGTCCGGGTGGGAAACACGCAGTCGAACATGTCACAGCCGAGGGCCACGCAGACCACGAGATCCGTGGCGTAGCTGGTGAGGGGCAGGGGTGCAGCCACGGGGGGCCAGTGAAGGCGGACCCCACCCCACAATCCGTCCCAGCCACCCCCAGGGAAGAGCCATTTCTTTCTCACCTACCCCCCAAAGCACCCCCAGCAGGGGGGAGGGGAAAATCTGCCTCCACCCCCCCCCAGGTGAGGCCCAGCCCAAACATACCCGACCCCCATGAGGTAGCGGGGCTTGTCCTTAGGCAGCATGGAGGTACTCAGCGCCACCATCTTCCAGAACTGGGCCTTGCTCTCGCCCCCACTCAGGCCCCCAATGGCAAAGCCCGGCACGTCCCTCTTGGTCATTTCTGGGGGCACAGATGGATGGTGGCCAAGTGTCAGTGGCCCCACACCATTGATTTTTGTTCCTATTCTGTACAGTTGACACTAAATCCCAGGAATCAATAGGCATTCCTTCAAATGTAGGCCTTGAGCTGGGCAGGGTAGCTCATGCCTGTAATCCCTGAGCATGAGGCAGGAAGAAAGGAAGTTCCAGGCTAGCCAATATGGTGAACAACAGATAGGGTTGTGGAAGATGTTCTCACCCAACCACAGGCTTATGTGCATGTTTTGAGCCCATTTATCACAGGGTAGGCTGAGCTAGGCTATTTGATACAGAGGTAGAGTAAATGCATTTTGGCTTTTCAACAAAGATTTCTTTGTTCAATGCCAGTGCTGGGGCTTACACTCTAGGCCTTGAGCTCTTGCTCTACCACTTGGTCCAATTCTGGCTTTTTGGTAGTTAGATAAGAGTCTCATTAACTTTTCTTTCTTCCTTTTTTCTTTTTGGTCGATCATGGGGCTTGAACTCTGGGCCTGGGTGCTGTCCCTGAGCTCTTCAGCTCAAGGCGAGCGCTCTTATCACTTGAGCCACAGCACCACTTCTGGTTTTCTGGTGGTTTATTGGAGATAAGAGTTTCACGGCTTTTCCTGCCCAGGCTGGCTTTGAACCTGGACCCTCAGATCTCAGCCTCCTGAGTAGCTAGGATGACAGGTGTGAGCCACTGGCACCTGGCTTCTCATGAACTTTTCTGCCTGGGCTGGCTTCAAACTGTGCCCCTCAAATCTCAGCCTGCTCAGCAGCTAAAATTACAAGTGTGAGCTACCTGTGCTCTGCCTTAGTTTCTGCTTTCATGAACATGAGCTGGGCTCTATTTATAGACTCACTGGACCAGAAGGCAGGAGGTTAACAAGGACCTCTTTTGTTTATTCTTTTTTTTTTTTTTAAAGTAGTACAGAGGTTTGAACTCAGGGCTGGAAATATGGCTTCACGGTAGAGTGCTTGCCTAGCATGCATGAAGCCCTGGGTCCAATTCCTCAGTACCACATATACAGAAAAAGCCAGAAGTGGTGCTATGGCTCAAGTGGTAGAGTGCTAGCCTTGAGCAAAAAGAAGCTCAGGGACAGTGCTCATGCTCTGAGTTCAAGCCCCAGGACTGGCCAAAAAGAGAAGAAGAAGAAGAAGTTTGAACTCAGGGTGCTGCACGTGGTGGGCTGGTGTTCTACCGTTTGAGCCTTGCACTGGAATGTTTTCTTACCGTTCTCTACTCCAGTCAGGATCACAGTACATAGCCCAGGCTGGCCTGCAATGACCATTTTCTTGCCCTGGCTTGCTGAGAGCTGGAATTACAGGTGTGCACTACCACACACAAAGGATGTTTCTATTCTTTTTTGGAAGTGGTGGAAATTGACCTCAGGTCCTCACAATCGCTAGGCAGGCGCTGGAAAGCGAAGAAGTACTTCCAACTCCTTTGGACATTATTTTCTACACACATCTCATTTTATCTTCAGGAGTCTCTGTGCTCCGATCCTCCTGCTGGTGCTTCCCAGTGTTTGTGGGAAGCCACTGTGCTTTCCTTGTAGCTGGGAGAGCAGGCGTGCACCACCATGCTCAGCCATTGGTTGAGATGGAGCTGGGAAGGTCTTTTTATCTGGGTTGGCCTAGAACTGGGACTCTCCTAATCTCTGTTTCCCAAGTAGCTAGGATAACAGAGATGAACCCCTGTGCCTGACAGAGGACCTCTTTTATAAGATCACAAGGCTGAAGGCAGAAGCAGGCAGGATAGTTTGACTGGACGTTCCCATTCAATCCTTACCGTCATTGGCTGAAAGTAGAAACAACTCCCC